GGTGTGCGTGCAAGAGAGTGCGCGTGCAAACTCGATGACGAAAACGTCTATTGTCTTCTAACCAATAATACGCTCTGCTACGCTTGCTACACATTAAACTGGTTCGGCCAATCATAGAGCCGCTTCAGCGAGGTACTGGAGTACTGCGCATTTGATGTTCGATCTCTTCTGGATTGGCTTTTTTGCCCGTTCTTTCTCCCATTTCAAACCTTGTTGTAAGGCACCATCTCACGTTCTAAGAAAAACGAACTCCGCCAGTTTGTTTTGTGCTGTTAACAGTCAGACCAGTGGAGGATTTGTTGCTTTTTAACTTCTGGTTCTCAACAAAAAATTTTTCAGCCCCATTTTTCCGTACTTTATCATAAAGACTTCCCGACTTCCTAGTATCATGTATTCCTACGTCTGTATGAAACTCAAGTTCGGAGAAGGAGTCAAAAGTGCAATTACAGCCTTCTTCAGGGCACACAAACATCGATGGCTGATCATCAATTTCAACGTCGTCTTTACTTGCTTGACGCTTTCTTGGGCGATGAAGGACTCTTATTTCTGTGTTGGTGAAGAATCCTTTTCCCTCCATTAATGATATATTTGTGCAACCCAGGTGCCGTATGTACAAAGATTGCCAAGGGATAAGCCTGCCGACCCCAACAGCGTAAGCTTTCCACACTCTTATCCCATTCTCTTCGTATCTAAAGTTGTGCAACTCACTAAGTTGTTTTATCTTCTGAACCTCAAGAATTTTGGATGACTCATCCAAAATGGCTACAGCCGCTGTTGTTCCTTTGACAAGCCGTTCCTTAAGAGCCTAGTGCATTCGTGCATTGCTCCTACGTTCATGATGTCATGGCCTTCCGCGCAATGTGCTTTCTTAATGTTGCTTTCGTGGGACCAAGCACCCTGTCACAAACATCCTTTCCTTGCTGGGGTTCTGGAAAATCATAACGTGCAACTGTAATTCCCATTCGATCTCCAATATCTTTGACTGCTGCTATTAGGTGATTGCAAGGGTAGCAGCCAGCCTCGTCACAACGTAGAAATGCCTGCTTAACATTTGGAAAATTTACTTTGATGTTTTGAAAAAGGTTTTTTAAAATAGATACAACCGCATACCAATCTTGCCAACACGAATATAATAAATGGGCATACGACAGGACCTTAGCTTTCTGCGTTTCTTGGTCTTTTGATATCACACTGCTTATATGCCACCTAAGGCCTCTTTTAGCAAACCATTCACTTTGCTTTCCTCTGTATTTCATTTGAAGAAATTTCATCGGCCAGTCAATAACAAAAAGGACTGATTGACTGTCAAGACTTTGGAGGGCTTCTTGTTTAGCAGATTCTTGGTTAACAGAGCGTAAGGCATGAGATTTCCAAAGAAAACTGCCATTCTTGGCTGCCAGTTCTTGGCTGTAAAGATGGCTGGATTGTTTCTTTATACTTTCTTCTATCTCCTCCAACGTTGCATTCAATTGTTCGCATTGTTCACACACCATATTGTGTGAGTGTAAGCACTGATGGTTGAAGCATGGATCAACTGGATCGCTTAACGCAAATTTTCTGCAGTGGTCTGCGCACTCAGTCTCCTCTGCTGAACAGTTCACTTTAAACTCCGTCTTCAGGTATCTTTTGCCATCGTTCAATCTCTTTGCCAGTTCTGTAACTCTTCCTTTGTCAGCACCAGCCTGATTCAGCTCTTCTAGAATACTCAATAGCCGCTCAAAAGATGCGACCCTTCGCTGCAATGTTGTCCAGACCACTGAGAGACTTCTACGGTGAAGCCTCTCTCACTTCAAGAATGCGAAAAAGGGTTGAGCGGCTAGCCGGTTCAAATGATTCTTGTTTGCAATGTTGAAGGTACTGCATAATCATGGTCGATCTAGTCACGGTCCGGATTACGTTTGGCATTGTTATTTTGCCTCCCCCATTTAAGGTCAGTGTTCGCGTTCCAAAGGCGACGTCTTGGTAGAAATAAGGACGGTTTACAAAATCTATGAAGTGGTTGACTTTGCTTGTGTCCAGACGTACTCGATGGCTGAATACTTTCGGGAGATTTGACCCAGGCCCTCGTTTCCTTGCATGCAATCTCGCTCTTTTTATTTGTCTCAAACTTATCTTTTCATAAAGCTCGGGGAATTTCTGTAACAGCTTCATGGTATACCGATAAGCGTAGATGCTGAGTATTTGAATCTTAACATTCTTTGTCATGGCATCTCGATATGCAGACATCAAAGCAATGAGATCCTCTGTTGGTTCATCAAGATCGTTCGCGGTAGGCTGGCGTATAGTCTGCTACACAGCCGTTTTTAGTGTCGTCACGTAACGCTCCTCCCCACTAACGGCTGCTGAAAACCGAACTACATTCCTTTCCCGTGATTAGCCAATTATAATTCAGCTCCCATTTTCTGGAAAGTGTTCGCGCCACCTTTGCGGTACTGTGACTCCTCCAATCAAAGCTTTGCTTTTATCGTTGCCCCATGTGTGAATGACAGAATAATCAAAATCGTCGCGTGAAAACGAGCAATTAACTACAGTGTTGTCGTAGTCGAGTCTTATTCAAAATTTATAATAGGAGATAAGCAGCAACAGCAAGAAAGTCGAGCAAATTGCGATTCACAACATGGATGTGCTCATAAAGTTGCCAGGTATAGTTTCGGGAAATCGCTCATCGATAATTTATAAGATTGCTTTTTGACTCAGTACCCTTGAGAGTTTAGTCTTCACAGAACACAATGAGCACATCCGGTACATTAAATTCTTCACTACATATCAGCACATATGCACGTTAAATGACGAACCAACCGATCCTGGTAAAAGTTTTCTAGGCCTATCAAACCTTCTTTTCACTTGGAACTTTCTTGACCGCTTAAAACAAACTTTTTTGCAAATTAACCTTTTCGTTGCTTGAAAACACAGAGCCCGTCTAAATTCAGCGACGATTGATTGATTTGTCGAAAACTGAGAAGCGTGCTCGCTGCCTAGCGCCCTGCGGCTCACGTATTGTCAAATTTCTTGTACATGATTGGTTTGTTCGTTAGACCACAAACACAAAGGGAAAGGAATGTAGTTCGGTTTTCAGCAGCCGTTAGTGAGGAGGAGCGTTGCGTGACGACACTAAAAGCGGCTGTGTAGCAGACTAGCTGGCGTATCGCTTGAAAAAGCGTTTCGCCATCTTTCGGAGCTATAACACTGCAGATTACTTTAGATGCTTTCGTTGCTTTCTCTAAGCAAGTTTTTCTTTCATCCGGTATTGCTTCCTCCCATGTCGTGGACAGTTGGAATGTTAGTGGCACGTCTTTCTGCGAACTACCACTTCCAATCCCACTCCAACATCCAGGCGTCCAGTTAGCGTCTGCAAACCTGTCTGCTTGTGGGGACTCAGGGGCGAAAGTTTCTTTTAGCAGCCTGATAGAATAAAAGGCGCCTTTAAATTTTTTTTTGTCAATACTGTGCTACAGTTCGCCAAGAAGTTTGAAACAAAACATTTTGGCACTTTTGAAAAGTGACATCTTAAGTAAACCGACATACGTTATGGACGCAATATTATATCACCCTTGATAAAGTGCGGCCGCTATTTAAGCTCCGCCGTGAAGGCAAAAAAACGCAACCCGAACATGACACTCTCCCTAAAACAATGTCGGAAACTTATTTTTCTGCCTAGCACTGTTTTGTAGTTCGGAACGGCGAAAGTTAGCAAGCCCATTTTTTCCACCAAAAGGAACTATTTTTTTATATATCTATGAGGAACGCCGCCCTCAATATAATCGCATTCCGCAAATGAGCGCTGCAGTTGAGTCGCAAAATCGGAATGATAAATGCCTCAGCGCGTAATTCAAGGAAAGGGTCCAAATGCCGATCCTTTTAAAAGTGTTTAGATGTCCCAAGACCTTTTAGGGGTTTGTTCAGATGTCAGTTTTTTACATCATCAACATGAAGAATGCAGGAATCTACAAGGAGAGGTAGATAACCGCCAACAACGATCGTTTACCTGTTTCTTAAGCCGTAAGCTGCATGCATCACGATCTAACTTCCTTATGTTTGCATCTACACCCCCACATATTGCTAAATAGAAAAGATTGAGTGGACTACTGAGTTCATCATGGTTTTGAAATTTTTATGACAACAGTAACAATTACAGTACTTCGTCATCTTCATCGTCGTCTTCATTATTTTTCCCTTATCTCTTTGTTTTCTCAAAGAGAAAAACACTCATCGTGGTAAAGAATTAAGTAATTAAATTATTATACTATTTTTAATTCTTACGTGATCCTATTCCCACGGTGAGTTTAAAAGCCGACTACATGTATGTTCTTCGCAGTCTCCAAACCAATTACATGCCTTTCATTAGAAAGTTTCTTTCTTGGTCCACTGTGCGATGGATGGCAAGAACGAGGTGGCCGCCAAAATTTTCCGAGTTTATACTGATGTTGTGGGCAAATTACCATCTGCTCCACTTGATCTTTCGTAAGGTAAAAATGACCGGCCCTTGACAGTATTAGTTCCGCTTCACTGAGTCCAGACTTTGATAGGTGACAGATTTCAAGCTGAGTCGTAATTGTGTCCTGATATTCATCTACTTTTACCATTTGGGACAAACCGCGCGAACTTCCACACGTTATTTTCGTAATTTCGCTAAAGTTGCACGGTTCGAAATTCATGTTGAAGTAGTCGTATTTGCGCGTGCCAACTTCGCTTAGTGATGAGGGACAGGATAGATAACTTTCGACCTGTTTGAATTGACAGCGAACTATAAGAAGCGAATCAACTCAAAATAAAGCGGAAACTTTACCATTACGGGACTATGTCATGCTATTTGCTATCTTTTTTAAAAGGTAAAAACTTTTTTTTGCATTAATTGAATTCCAAAAATGATGGTCCAGTTTTGTGATTTAAGACTATTATTTGATATTGATATTGACATTGTTTACCGTCGTCTGTTGGAATGGATTGAAACTTAGGCCAACAACAACATACATGACATACAGCAACCAGATGAGTACATGATCGATTCAGATGCGTAAGGTGACGAAGAAGGTGACTTTGAAGTAGGTTATAGCAGGACATGCATGACCAGGTCGGGAAGATCAGTACGTGACTGGTGCGTCTGTATCTATGAGGCCGGTGTCATTTAATGGTGATACGACTAAATCTATTTTTTTATTATTTGTACTTACAGCAACAATCATTTAATAGGAGCCTTAGCTTTATAGCAATCGTTTACCCATTTTTACCTCTTCGATTAGATAATTGTTCTCTTCTGAGTCAGTGTTAATTAAGTCATCCAAGTATCACTTGAGAAGTAAGGATTTTCATACACCCAAATTTAATACTTTACATTAAGGGAAACATTCTATGAGGTACTATGGACCATATATATGGTCTAGATTGGACAGCAAAGTCAAAGACAAACCTATAGCTTACAATCTTTTAAGTCCAGCATAAGGCGCATTAACCTTGTAGATCTTATAAGTGACAATTGTGGTTCCTGTGTAATTTGTAGTTCGTAAGGTATTAGAACTGCTATAATAATAGCTAACCAAAATTAGTATAGTTAACTAAGAATTGGCCAAAAAGATAGTAGTTAACTGATATTTGGCCGAAAAATTATAGTAGTTAACTGAGCATTGGGTACCCCCATTAGCACCCTCTTACAATGCCGCTCTGGAGGCATGGTCCCCCCAAAAAATTGTTAGAAATTGGATTGTCCATTATAAGTTGTATCCCATGCGTACGCTTTGAGTGCAATTATATCAGACAACTAAAGTCAATACAGATGTTGCTGGTAAAAAGTTAGAATCTTACATGAGAGGACAAGCACGATGTTTACTGGAAGTACAATCTCACGCAGAGTTGTAAGCAGAATTGTAAGCTTTGTCGGAAGCTAATGCGACTTAATGCCATTTAAAATTCGCGCTCCTCGAAAGTGCATAATTTTTCTTTTCGTGTATTAATATATTTACGTTTTATTTGAATTAAAACATAAGAATTTTTTCTTCTCACGGAGGTTATTTGCTAAACACCACACTATAAGTTCCTGGTGTCGGATTTTCAGTAGCACGTCTATTTCGGGCAAAATTCGGATTTTATCGATTTTGAAGTTTTTTGTTTATTGTTGTCATAGTGATATCGATTTTACTGTGAAGTGCATTTTGACAAACTTCATTTCATAGGCAATCACTGGGGAAACGTTTGTAGCGATCGAACAAGGATAAAATCACTTTTAGGCAATTGAAAAACATCGGTATGGTCTCCGAAAAACTGTATCGAAACACCTTAAGGCTGCACTATAGGTGACACACCCATAGGTGCAGTGTAACCCAGTGATTCTCTAGGTAGAGCTATATAACAAAAATGTAGGCCACACTTTAGGTCTCTTTTCTCTTTTCGTGGCCGTCAAATTGAAACCAGAGATCGTCTCCCAAGGGGAGTTAATAGTTAACTTGAGACGTAACTGTCGCGTCTGACGCGCCAGACAAACAACCATTTGATACCAGCAATATTTACCGTCCCTGATCGGATTCAAAATCCCTTCCAAAACGACTCATAAACGCAGGAATACTCCAGGTAAATATCCTATTATTTTATTAGCTAATACAACGTAGATACGTAACAATTATTCAACGAGGGCGCGTTGGATATGAGTTGGCTAATATAATCATCTCATATCCAAGCACGAGTGGAATAATTGTTTTATTAAAAATGCCCACAACATTTCGTTGAATCTCCCCGATTAAATTTTGTTAGAACAAACCGGAAAAGACAAGGGACTTCCGCTATTCACAAGTCACACGTCTATCAAAACTGTCAACGCGCGAACGGACTCGCCTGGACTGGATGAATGATAAATCAAAACATTGTAGCGATGAACACTTTTAAAAACTCATCGGGATTCTAGGATTTTACAATAATGTGAAGAAAAAGAATTTTTAAGTGACAGCCGTCGAAATTACTGTGAATTTGGATTTTCGGTGCTGTTACAAAAGTAAGAACAACGGAGAAAAACTATTACCTCGGTCGCTTGTTATCAAAAAATGACAACAACTTAAGCTTAAAACGTTTTGTATATAGAAATTCACCATTAGACGGGACTGTTCGGTCAGGTCATTCTGCTGTTATGTAGTATGAAAGGGTAATAATTGGCTTGAGAAACTACATTGTAGGAATAGGTCTTGGAGTCATTTTCGTTTGTATTTTTATTCTAAAACACCAAATTTATATGATACACGGTACGCGGTATTTTGAGTACTCCTGTGGTATGCGATGTTCAGGTACGAGTGAAATTAAAGCAACAAACGACAAAGCGATAAGAAAGGAGCCTTGACAAACAATCGAGGCAAGAAATATAATTCAATGAAAAATTTAAAAATTTAACTCAACTGCTGTGTTGCCGTTGATGACTGAGCATCATCAAGAAATAATTCAAGACCCACTGATGCTATATTTTTAGATTTCTCAAAAGCGTTTGACTCTGTGCCTCAAGAACGGCTGTTCCTCGGCTCAAATTAAAATGTCACGGGATCGAAGGCTCGTTACTGCGTTGCTTTAGAAGCTTTCTGAGTGACCGCAAACAACGTGTTGTTGTTCGAGGCACCCACTCACCCTGGTCTTGTGTAACGTCGGGCGTTCCCCAAGGGACGATCCTGGGCCCAATTTCTAATTTACGTCAATGACATATCTTCTAACATCCGGCTTCGACATTAAGGATGTTTCCGGACGACACCAAGGTATACAGAGAACTGCCAAACATAGCAATGGACAATGAAGCCCTATACAATTTTATGTCGATCAGTTACTATCCTGGGCATCTAAACGGCAACTACGCTTTAGTCCCGTTAAATGCGAGGTTTTATAACGCACAAACGAGACCTCTCCCTCCCTACATACCCGTTGGGTAAGAGCCTTAAAAACGTAAAGTGCGTCAAGAATTTGGGCATTATGGTGTTATACGAATCTCTCGCGCGCCCGGTTATTGAATATGCTTCTCCGGCCTGGAACCAATATGTGACCAAATATGTGCTAGCGTAAGAAAGAATTCAGCGAAGAGCCTCTCGTCTTGCTCTCGGGCAAAAACGATGTGAGATGGAATACGAAGATCATTTAAGGAAAAAACTGAAGTGGCCTACACTCGAAACACGTAAACATTTTCTTTCTTTAGTTGAATGATACTGAAGATTGTTTTTGGCATGAACAAACTAAACTTTGACGACCTTTTTGAATTTACCAAGTGCAATTCAACCCGCGCTAACCATCCGTATAAGCTATATGTAAAGCCAGCAAATATATCTATTTTTATCTTTTGATTTAGGGAGACATCATAGGGTCAACCTCCAGTTTTCCTTTTCAAGATGTTTTTATAATTTTGAGTTCATTATCTTGAATAAATACGTTATGTTATGTTAAAAGGACAACAATTTTCATTCCCGAAGACATGTATTGAGAGAAGGAAGTGTTTCTTCGAAAATTCTTGGGTCATTAGTAAAACCTCGTCTAGATTTAAGCTTGAGGTAATACCCTTGAAATTGGTCTACTATCAAACTTTTTTTGAAACTTGGCATAATCAACATTCATGATATGAACATTGAAAAAATGCAATAAAAAGATGGGGTCACCATGCTTGTTTACGTGTCGGCAGGCTCTTAAACTGGGGAATTTTTACTTGTTGCGCGTTAAAAATTCGAATCCCCTTCTTACAGAGTTAAGTCTTTGTTACTTAAAACACACAAAATTTTATCTTGAACATAAAACTTCTTTTATTCAAATAAGCAGTATTGCTTCATTTAATTCGTTTTTGATTGCCTGGTTGTGGGGATATTGCACTTTTTCGGACAGTTCCGTAGTTAGCTTTAAGTCCTCGCCTTGACCCAAATACACCAAATGCGAAACTATTTTCCCCAAAAAATCATGTTCTACTATCAAACTTTTTTTCTTCCTCAAATGTGCTATTTATTAGACTGTTATCAGCAAATACCTGTGAAAAAAAAATCGGGGGTCACCGTGCTTGTTTCCTTACAAACTGCTGTGAAAGGTGGACATGGTTTTGAGATCGCAGTCAGGATGGATAATTTGCGCGGCGAGGACTGGGGCGAGATACAAAATAACGCCCATCGTGTTCGTAGTATTCACTCGAGATCAACCTTAATTGTTTTCGGTTGTTTTCATGTGTTTGATATCGCCAACACAGAAAGTCAAACTTGAAAAGAATACATTAAATACCAAGGAATGAGGTAAGTCAAGATTTGATGAGATTTTGGAGTTATGAATCCTTATTTTGGACTATTTTGTAGGGCCGGCGTTCTGTTTGATTCCAGTGAGCTAGGGTTCGATTTTTGCCTTTGCACGATAATGCTTGACAAAGAAACTTGAAGAAAAGACTATTGATCCCTATTCTTCACATGTTCGCTTGTTTGGTTTCTATACACAGCAAAATGTGAATTCAGCAGCAAATTTCGTTTTTACATCAAAGACTGGTATCACTCGCGTGGTTCTGGACCAGGTGCTACAGTGGGTCTTATTTGTTCCAGAAATATTCGTCTTTCCACTCTCGGAGTTTGAACAACATATGTACAGTAGCGATCCCAGTCCAGATACTGGCTCAATAATGCAGCTGGAGAGCCGTAGAGCTGTCCCACAAGCTTCACAGGCCCCATAATCCAAAGCCTCAGCCAGGACATTTTAATAGTTCCACAACTCGACGGCCGCGAAGTGGAAAACCACTGCAGACTTCGGGAACACGCACATTTCTTTCATTTTCTTGTTTTTCGATAGCAAACCAGGACGCTGTCAGCCTATCTGCGGCATTATTATGGCGAATAAAAGCTTTAGCTCTGCAAAAGGGGCCCTTGTTTGTTCTTTTCGCGCTAGTAGGAAGAACCGCCGCCATCTTTGATGTGGCAATGTTATGCGCAGTAGAGGGACTGCGCAGTGCAAAACAAAGGAATGACCTTAAGCTTAAGTTTTAAGCCGGTATCGCCGTGTTTGCTATTTTTCAAGATGAACTCGAGGCACAAAGCTTTCTTTTTACAACCTAAAGGATAGCTAAATATTCTTCAGAACGTTTTCTCTCTAGTTCAGATCATTGTCTCACTATCTTACAAATGTGCGTAAAGTGACGGCATCAACAACGCTCGACTTCATAAAAGTTAAGACCAGAAAAAAAACCAACAAAAAATGAAACAAACATCAAATGCAATACAATTACTGGGGCTTACCGGTCGAGATGCAGCTCGAGGAAGCCATCAAGTAAGGCCAGGATAGCTCAAGACTTTCCAACCCTCTTACGCATCCAGCAAGGTGAAGTAAGCTTAATTTTGAAAACGATGATTCCTGATTACTTTTTGTCAAGCGGCGCAACCAATAAACAAGCCAGCCATGAATAAGAAAATAATCCGTTGATAGCAGCTGTATTTCATTTTGTGGTTCCAGTGTGAAAAGACGGTTAAAACATAATAAGATGACACAAAACTCTGTCAGCTTCAGATATCCGTAAAAGTATACAGATGCTGCATAAATTTTCCACACAAATCCTCTTCGCTAGCTTTGCTTGGCCTGTTAATTCTTACCCCCTCCCTTCTTTCCCTTCGCTCTTCACTGTAAAAAAATTGAATTCAATCCGCTATTGTTTGCTGCCATAACAATTTTCTTTCTTTGTGGAAACTCGAGATAAAGGAAATCGTTTAAATCGCAACGGATCGGAAACATAACGTGTACCCGGTGAATCTTTGTTCGGCAACGTGGCGTGGTTACCAAGCCGATCTCAGCGGTCATCGTACTTGTTGTGTTGGTTTTGGACGCGGATTTCTACCAGCGTTGAACCGTTTAATCGGGGAAACAAACTGCCGTTTGGCTTCGCTCGCAGGGACGCGATTGCTTAGCTAGGGAGCTAAAATGAAAGTTAAACCTTTGCAGTGCGATTCTACGGTGGAATTTTGGCCGTGGGGAAATTTTGAACTGGAATTTTTGGCTTCTTTCGGCGGGCTGTCCATATTGCGTGTGTTTGGCCTTGTCCTCTCTTTATTAGTGAAATCTCTATTCCTCGGAGATTTCCCCGTCACAGTCACTCCTCCCAAGTAATGCACAAATTTTAAATTTAATGTTAGTTAACCTATTTATTATCGTTTTTATTCTGCTTGTAATTCATTGTGTGTGGCAAAATAATAAAATAAAATAAAATAAAATAAAGGAAATCGCAACGGATCGGGAAAATAACCACACAGGAAGCAAGAAGACACCAAGTAAGCAAGGCAAAGCGTATTTTATTGAAAATCCATGCGAGTATTTATCTTCTCGAATCTATTACCTGAATTCCCATACTAATCCTTTACAATGACGGTCAGTTTGAAAATTACGCAACCACAAGTACTCTCATATTGAGCTTGGGCCGCCTGTGATTTGACACCGACAGCGGGCCGGCTCACCCCAGCAAGACGTTGACCATGGTACCATGGTTTTTCAACGCCGACCATGTTTAAACATGGTCGGCCATGGTTCGACCGTGTTGTGTGACCATGGTGTGTTATCAGCCCTTGACCATGGTATATTGCCAACCATAATGGCAACAAAGTAAATTACTGCTTTTTACTAAGTCAGTGAAAGCACATAACAGCACATAATAATTTTATTTTTTCGAATAAATTATTAGAAATGCATTGAGTTAAGGCCACGCCAAACCATGGTCGACCATCTCCAATCCTTAGTCCGACACAATTACAGTCGAACCCGACTAATAAGGACATCGATCCAAGGGTCCGTATTAGAGAGGTGTCCGTATAAAAGAGGTCACTATGATGACGTCACTTTAATGACTCCACTTACAGTTTTAAGCGTTCAGTAGCTAAAACCAGGCTCACACTCGTCTTTAAACTAGCTGCATTTAAAGTTGTTAATTCACAGTACAAAGACACTGTCTTTTAGTAGCATACAACATTGTACATCTCAGCTATAGACAAATCACTGTTTTAAAGCGAAACAAGCTACAGCGCAAAGCTGCATGTAAAAAGTTGTAACGTAAAGCACAATTCTGAAAGCGTCTTTCGCTATTTTGCAAGTGCAGTAAACAGTAACTAAAGTACAAAATGTAATAGAAAAGATCTTTATGCTGTCTGTGGTTATTGGAGCCTTCAAAAAGTCGGTTATGCTCCTCTGTACACCTTTCGCAAATCGTTGTTTCACAGCGACTGGGCTTTATATCACCTTGCATAGCTCATCAGACCAGTCGGGATTTTCCCTGTGCAGATTCACCTGATCGGGATTCGGGATTCTCCTGATCACCGCAGTGTCCGTAATAAAGAGATTAATTTTATATTAATTTACTCTCTGGGGCCGAGATTTAGTGTCCGTTCAGTCCGTGTTGGAGAGAGTCCGTATTATAAAGGTTTTTTTTAATGAAAATATATGGGAATTTTGTCGGGACATTGGAAACTGTCGGTAATAGAGGTGTCCGTATTGGAGAGGTTCAACTGTACTGCAATTCAATTCTTGTTCATTTTTTTAGTTTTATTTTCCTTTAATTATTTTAGGTATAGGCCAAACACAATCCATTGATAACATTTTCAAAGAATTTTTTCTGTTTTTCTCGAGCCATGGTAACCTTTGTACGACCATGTCTGAATCCTCGCTAGTGGAATTAATGCAATCGGTGGGAGTGGTACACGAATGCCTTAATGCCTTTTTTTTTATATATCCAATGGATTGAACGAGGCACAGGAAGACACAAGTTTCGTGTCACAACCCGGGATCGAACAAAGTATTTTGTTGGAGAGTGGCTTAGCAAGGTCGATTGTACCTCGAGTCATAAGAACGTTGCATTTTGCTAGCTGTATTGTGGCCGGAAAGAAACAATGCGTTAACATAATTAAGAAAAAAATTACCTGATCAATATTTGAGACTGTGATTATTCTCCTTGCTTGTGTATCAGTCACCATACTATGCTTGATTAAGCGTGTTTTCTCAACTCCTGCAGCTCGATCCGAATTTGATCGGCAGATTTGTTTGATTCGCGACGACCGCACAAAAGCAGGCACAGATCAGAAGTATGGCTCAGTCAATTCCAAGCGTGCACATCCCCCTTCGGGCATTTGTCGGGCATTTGTCATTTTCAGTTTGGAAAAGCTGCAAATGCCCCACGGCGGGGCTTAAAAATAGGGTGCAAACGGCCCACCCGGGAAAATACGAAAATTGCATTTTCCAGTAAATACCATATTTATAGGAAGTCTGTAATAATCTGATCGTTCCTAGCGGTAGTTATAATTATTGCAAAAAAGATCACATTGATCTGATTAATCTCAATGACAGAACTATAATTAAAATTTTAATAATACCTTTCTTATGTTTAGGTGGGTGGTTTAGTATAGTGAATGATTAACAAACAACCGAGGCGCTTTAATACATGATTATTTTTTGTTCACGATGGAACTATTGCATGAATTGTGGCATTGATTAGATTGCCAGATTGTCGTATTGATCGTACAATACACGAAGTTTATATTAGCTTTCAAATATCTCGCAGAGTTTTTCTAGGCCTTTCTGTCTTGACTGTCTTGACAATTCACGCGCAAAGAAAGTGCCTTTTTCTTTTAACTCTTCAAACGATACATTGATTGTTTTTTCCTCCATGCCCAAGCTGATCACGATGGCGGGAAGCAATTTCTTAGACGGATGCAAAAAGTACTGTGGGGTAGGCAAGTGATGGAGCGAAAACCACCCATATCTTTTTAAAGTATAAGTATTAAAAATATTCTTTATAAAACTATCTAAATAGGTATATTTTTTTAGTGAAATATTGAAAAAAGAATGACTCGGAGGGAGGGCCCAGCTTTATTGTTTTCATGTGTTTGTCTGTGACCGATTCATCTCTGCCATTGTGACGTCACATACTTTGCTTTGTTGTTACTTTCATCTGCTTGCGTAAACCCTCTTGGTATTTTGTGTCCGTCATTTCGTAAAATTTTAAAATTGGTGTCGCGGACCGTGTTTACGGAACCAGCAAGAGCATGAAATTGGCAACGTCTAGTCTCCAGAATAGGAGGTTTGATTCAGAGGTTACACACGATTACTATGTTCAATATCTTCGCTGATTAAATCGACCGTACTTCTCATCAATCCGTTCGAGTGTGGGCCTCTGTTTATTTCTCAATTCTTCACTAAATTCAGTACAGCTTTTCTGATTGATTTTCTACAACGATCGGCCCTTTGAACCCGAAATAACAATGAGAAATAGCTTTGATATACGTGCTTACGCTAATTTTTTCAAACAGCGTCTACGCCAGAGAAATATGGTTTAAAAAAAACAAAGTCACTTCACCAAACACTGACTGGAGTGGCACAATGGTGCAGTGGTCAAGGAGTTGCTTGCACGTGCAGATGAACTAGGTTCGACTTCCGGCGAAGCTCTTTTCTGTTTCTTTATTGTACAGTATTTTATTCTGTGACGGAATTTTCAGAGGTGGTTTGTTAAGCCAGATGTAGGAACGATATTTACCCAAAATATGCAGATATTCGAGGTGGTATGCAAACAATGAAATCTAAGGCCAAGACTAAAACAAATAGCTCTATGCCTTTGCCAAATTATCAGGACTAACATACCAGGTTGAAATTTACCAAAATTATGCATAATTATCAACTGAAAATAAGATCCTGCCATTGTCCTGACTGCGATTACGGTAAAGAAAGTTTCACCCCAATACTTGCCGTACAGAATTTTAGTAGTTGGACTGGTTTTCCACAAATTAGCATAGAAATGAATGAGAATTGGGAAATATTTTTGGGATGTAAATAATTCTGACTTGTTTTTTTTTTTTTTAGTACCTTTCATGTGCTTGAGCCAAAACTTCGACCTTTTTCGGCAAATTTATTTCGATCCTTCTTTCTTGTTCTCTTTCTTAGTTTTGTTGCCCACTTTATCGTTATTCTTTCCTATGGAATTTCGGCTGGCTAACTTCCCAGAAGGAGGAAAGTTTTATCTGGAACAAGAGTAATAGGTGAATACTGAAATTGGCAGTAGATTTTCAGTTCCCCAAAATGTTAGTCTGCCGGGGTTGGTGAGAATATGTCCTTCATTTGCCAACTTAATCACGTGATTAAACTGAAGAACAAACTTGGATCAATTCTGTGAAATATTGTTTGCCGAAGCCAAGAAAGCGTTACTTAACATTATTTCAGTAAACAAAAGGAAAAAGAACTAATTTGTTTCCACTTTCAACACACTATTAAATTTATATAGCGATTCACAAAACTAGTTTCGTCAAACGACCTCTTCAGTTGATCGCCACAGTATTCTAAATAACAGACACTCTACGTAGCAATGCATAAAAAAATGGCAATTAGTAGTAATTGAAATACAACAGTCCATTTTTTCACGCGAAATGACCCGATCCTTTACCAAGGGATTAGTAATACCACGGCTTTCTTTATCGGGAGAAATGTCTTTTACAAAAGTGTGTAACTTCACCTTATGAGCTGTTTATTGTTTATTATCATTTTACCATACAAAGAAACATATATGTATAAAGGTTAAAAGAAGATGAGGCAAGGGAGCCTAAGGAAGCCAATAAGGCTTCTGAATAGGACCCCCTTATTATGTCATATAAATAATAAATAAGAAAGCGGCGCCGTTTCACCGTTCGACTGTAAAACCGTTTCGCTCATTGTGGTTTCTATTCTAATTAAGTTCGACGCTCAAGTCAGTTCGACGTTTGACTCAGCAGTCGAACTTAAGGTCCACCCAAATCGTAATTTAGTTCGTCTCATGATAAGTTCGACGTCTTACCCCCTCCTTAAGTGAACGATTATACTACCTAATTGCTACTTAATTTCTCGTTCTTAGCGATCGTAAAAAAAATCGCGAAATTAAAAACCCGCGAATATAACCACGCGAAATTTAAAACCTCTGTATAAAATTCAAAACACACCAAAAAATATTAACAATTTAGCAACAACAAATACATTATGTTCAACAAATACACAAATTGTTGATTGGTTTTACTGGTAGTTCCATTTTGTATCTTCAGTTGTCAAACGACGTTAATTGCAAAGATTTCACACATTGCTTGTTCCAGTTTATCTAGAAATTTTAAAAAGTTCAGACTTTTTGAAAAATAACTCCATTTTGAGAACGCTTAAATCGCGAAATTTAATGGCCTTTTTTTCATATTTGCCTGTTGAAATCGCGAAAATAAAACCCCGCGAAAAACTATCTTGCCAAATTCGCGGAATTAAGAATTTCTTTTTTTTTTTTTCTGAACTTGAAATAGTCCAGTTTCGAATTAAAAATTACCGCCGAATACAAACATTAACGACACATTCATACAGGGTTAGCCTCGACTTGAAGTAACATATTCTGAAATTCTGGCAAGTAAGAGTTTGAAATTTGAATATACACAATAGACAGAGTAATAAACAGGTCTTTTTCTCGTTGGAATTTGTGAATATATTACTTCAGATGGAGGCTAAGGCTGTAAAAAATGCGTCTTCACTTCTTTAACTCAGCGGTCATAGCGAACTCGAAAATGGACTATTGAACTTGTCTACTTTTTTCATGAATTTTTGCGGCATAGGTATTTCGAGTACTATGTTTTCGTTTTCCTTTTCCAGATTGTTCCAGTTATTACTTTGAAAAATACCAAGATTTACCAACCAGAGGAGCTCTCGCCGTGGAACATTTCACCATTAATGGAAGTCTTTTTCTAGCGTTCGCCAACTATGAAAGTGACACCGCCGAAAAATACAACACACATTCTTTCATCTACAAGTTCAACGATTTGACTGGAAAATTCTTTCTTTACCAGACAATAGGCACACATGGAGGGCATGACGTAGAATATTTTACAATTTCTGGTGAACATTATCTTGCCGTTGCTAATGTTGATAATGGAACTACGCACAGACTAAACTCAGTTATTTATCTTTGGAATGGAATATCGTTTTTTGCTTTTCAAAACATTGCAACGACAGGCGCAGCCAGCTGTAATTTTCTTACAATAGCGAAAGAACCTTTTCTTACCGTATGCAATCTCTATGGTGATGTTCCGCAAAAAGCCAACTCAACCATCTACAAGTGGAAAAACAACATGTTTGAAAAGTTTCAAGAGATAGCGACAGAGGGATGTCGTGCAAGTGCTGCGTTTGTAATTAACAATGAAAGCTACATTGCCTTCGCAAACGAAGTCAGGTCGGCATCGTCAGTAGTTTATAAAAGGGCAGGGATGCACTTCGTCAAACTGCAAAACCTTCAAAAGCGTAAAGCAATGGATATAAAGTCCTTTTACATTAATGATGATGTGTTTCTCGCCATTGCCTCTCAGCCAGAGTCATACATTAACAAGTGGAATGGAAGTCAGTTTGTACAATTTAAGACTATCCTTACTTCTGGGGCCAGGGCCCTGCATCCCTTTGTCATGTGCGGTCAAACTTTTCTGGGGGTGGCTGATCAACTCAGAACAAAGACAGTGTTGTATCGGTTCTCCGCCCCAGGCCAGTTCACAAAATATCAAGAGCTTTCAACCTTTGGAGCCATTGATATGACGTCATTTGAATACAAGGGTCATACATACCTGGCTATTGCTAATTATGGAAATATTAACCAAAGGAACATTAAAAGTACGGTGTTCAAGTGGGTCTAAAAGGAATGCTTAATATACATTTATTTAATAGTTCACGTAATTAGTGCAAGATGCTGTCTCACCTTATTGTTGTGAGGTATTTGAAAGTTATTTTAAGATTTGTTTCATCAGTTTAGTCTTGATTTTGTCCACATAGGGATTTTCCTGTTTTGATCTTTTGTTTTTACTTGCACTTGAATTCATGCTTAGTTCGCGAACTTACTTAATGTCCTTTTAGGAATATTCTTTGCTTATCATCGTCTGATGTTAGTTTTTCATAGGTGGTCGTGCTTTTGATGTTAGAGCTGACCATGGTTCATTAGTCTCGTTGAAGTTCCTGTTTGGGTTTGTTAACCAGCGTTTTAGTTTTTCATTGGTTTGTAGCTTCTTGCCGATCGAAACCAATTAGGTACAATTAACACAGGCCTAGTTCACCCAGTTATTTTATTCCCACAGTCACGAGTAGCTAACCCAAAACATGACCAGCTTTGGTTGTAAAAACCGCTACTATGTACTTGAACCAGTTAAGAGAGTAAGGATTGAGTAGAGAAGAAGAGTAAGAAGATTAAGATTAAGATTGTTAGCAGAAGTCAAAGAAGAATAAAGACCCAGATGTACATCAGATTCCTGGTACCTCAACGGCCACTATTGTAAAAGGCGCAGGCAGGCGCTTAGATCATCCGGGGGTGGGGGGGTACGCCCTATAAGACCTATACGGGGAGGCTTCGCCCGAAAGGGGTACCTTTTTCAGGCTTCAGGTATATGAAAGAGTGGTGATTTCGCTAGTTGAAGTATATGAAAGGATACGGAATCTGTTTTTTTGGTCGATAAAATAGCCCCAACTGGTCTAACAGGTACATTTTATGGCTGTATATTGTTTATGGCTGGTTTTCTGATTTATTCATATACAGTTGAACCTCCATTAAGCGGCCAATAATCAAATTCCCGAAATAACTGTAGAAAAGAATGGGAAATTAAACCTCTGTTAAGCGGTCACCTCTATTAAGCGACCGCAGCCAGCTTTTTGCCGTCCCAACGAGAGTTTTCACGTTGTTGTCACCTCTATTAAGCGGCCATCAAGCACTTGACAGACTAAGTTGGTCTTCATGTAATTTTTTTTTTTTTAAGAATATGATGAAGTAAAACAGTCTGAGATAGAAGGTGTTTACCTATTGTGGACAAGAATGCTGCCCCCCCGTCGCGTGTTTTATGTTTCTGCTAAAGATAATACTGATTTATCAGTGACCCGCGCGCGGTTTATGACGAACCTCCATGACCTCTATTGAGTGACCATTAAGAATAGTTGTGTATTTGTATGTTCAACAAATGCGCAAAAGAAGTCATGTCGGCATCATCGGTCAGTAGTTTATAAGAGGGCTGGGATGCACTCAGTTGAACTGCACAACCTTTGAAAGCATAGAGCAATGGATGAAAAGTCATTTTACATTAATGATGACGAGTTTCTCACCACTGCCTCTCAACCCCCAGAGTCGTTCATTAAAGTCAGAATTGAAGTCAGTTTATCCTATTTAAGACACTATTCCTACCCATGGGGCCAAGACCCTCCATTCCCTTGTCATATGCGGTCAAACATTTCTTGGTGCGGCTAATCAGTATAAGGGTGGCACCTACCACATAGAGTTAGTGGTTTATCGTGCTTCTCAGGACCAGTTCATTGAATACCAGAGAAGATTTCAACTTTTTGAGCGACTGTTATGACTTCATTTACATACAAGGGTCATACTTACTTGGCTATTGCTGAGTAAATTAAAGAAATAACGGAAACTAAAGAAATATCGACAGCACGCTGTATACAATGACCTAAAGATAATGCGTATTTGTTAATTTTGAGAATTAGTTCACGATTCATACCGTCACCTTTGTCCTTCCTCAACAAATAAGGTCTGAATGAGAGGTGGGATGGGGGCTATAATAGTCGGTTGCCTGTTAAAACTTAGTTTTCTATCTTTGTCGGTCTTCGGTAAATTTCTGTTAATAAGTAGAAATCTATCTTAGTGATTATGTAATTCACTCAGTTAATTTAAACTCTAAACAAAGTGTAAAACCTGAAATAATTGATTGAACTTAAGGCTCATTTAGCAACTTGATCGGTTTTTTTTTGTCCTTTGTTTGTTATGATCGACAAAATAACCAAAGCATTTACGTACGCAGGAAAAGTAAACTACATTATAATTGTTTGGTCTGAAATTGTCTGATTATTGGGGAAGCTCCTTCTTCATATTAATCACCACTAGCTTCAGGTGGCACGTTGTAATACGAATGATCTTCATTATGTTTGTTTAAATCCAAGTATGGTGCATCACTCTGCATCATCACCTCCAGTTTTTCGATCAGCTGAAAGAAACTGGGACGAGAGCGAGGTTCCTCCTTCCAACAGTCAGTCATCAGCTCATATCTGTTATGAATAGAAAAAACAGCAACAACATTTTGAGTTAGTCAGAGTTCCATTCCATTATTACATACATTGAAACCGTTTCCATTTGACGTAAGACACCCCAATTTAGTAGAATAGTTTTTCCTTTAGACCAGCTGGGAGCCACTCACGCCGGATCATTAGGCTTGTCGGTTTCTTGCCTAGCCTGCGAGCGAGCTCTCCACTTGGGGCGATCTCGTGAAAAACACACGCGTGAGCGGCACGCGAGAGAAAACACGACAGCGACGGGACCCTCGTGTGGCGGATGGTTTTGGAATGGCCTGCTGGAAATGTTGTTTAAAGTTTTCCAAGTTGAAAGAATTAGCCAACATCGCCAAATTTTGCTGATAAAGCTGTTACCAGGTAAGAGAAAGAATACCTAGTTTTAATCATTTACCATAAGGAAATACCGAACATGGAGAAAAAATCCTTGCTGTCGATCTCTGTTGAAGTCTTAACACTATCATACTACTGTATGAAAACAATATATTAGCTAAGACTTTGCCGTTCGTCTGTTCAGTAATCAATTTGATCGAAGAAAACGTCAAAATCGCCAACCGACTTGTCTTCTTCAACGTTCATTGCTATAATTTGTAACTAAGAAGACGCACGGAAATTCGAATCTATTTGTAAACTTTAAGACAATTCTGATCAAGAAACGTACACATCATGCGAGCACATGTCAGGCCTTTCCATGCGATAACCAGTGCCAAGCAGTCGATACAATTCTGAGTTGGTCAGCGTGGGTTATGGTACGCCTCCTGATCACGTTATGAGAAAGAAAAAATACACGTTATTATTTGAAAATACGGCTCATTCCCTTGGATAGATTTCTACTGGAAATGTCAACGTCCACGACTCTTCATCCCCCCGCACTCAATAATGCAGTTTTGCAAAAGAATAGTGATTGAATAGGGGTCAGAGTTGCATTTAAATGTAAGAAAGAAAGCAAGAAAGAAAGAAAGAAAGAAAGATAGACAGACAGACAGACAGACAGACAGAAAGAAAGAGAGAAAGAAAGCGTGGTGCTTAGTAATAATGCTCTCTATAATGCGCACATATTTGATGCCGATTATCACTTATTTATGATTTCAGACATAAAGCCTAGTTCAAACCAAAAAAAAAACTACGGGCATGGCTTGCCACAAATACAACTGATCAGGTATCAGCCTGTTCCTGATGGCAATAACCTTATTTAATAAGGACTCACTCTTTTAAAAGTCCCAGTGTCGTCCTTTAATGTCAGGCTAGTCGCACTATTCAAGTCATATCGATCCCCCGTGGCACCAGGGAGGACAGTTCTTGGGATCTCACTCCCCTTGGAAGGTAACATGATCAGTGTGTGACGGTCTACTCACCCAATGTAGCCATCTCCCAAAGAACAACACTAAAAGACCAACTATAGAAAAAAGCACAAAGGTCATGAATATGCTCACTGCATAAACATTATAAATTTCTATTCTCTTCTTTTTACTTGACGAACTTAAGGGAAAAAGGGCGTGTCTCCACCTTTCCATGCCTTCGCGCTTGACTGAACCCTATGACACCAGGCCTCAGATGCTCAAAGCCCTTAGCAAATGGCCTAGCAAGGTTAATAGAGTAGGGAAATCAATACCAATTTACGTGACGGGTCTGTCGCATATTCGTAAACTTTTCCCGGTAAAGGAAAGCTTCTAAGTGATCTTTACTTACACTCTGATTTAAGAAATCAACAGACGCCGCTCTCGCTATTGACTATGAAAACTATATATAGTCCTGAGTCAAAATTGCGCTGACAAGTACGAAATTACCCACTATATTAACCACTGGAATTCTAGATCGGTTTGAATTAAACTCACTGATCACGATTTTTAAGGTAGCTGAGGTTTTCTGAGCAGCAATGTATCGAAATGTATTTAAAAGGGTGGGAATCTTTTGTACGTACACATCACTTTTGGTAGTGTAAAGGCCTTGATAGAGTGATTCTGGGGCCATCCATTTCACAGGAAGTTTTTTGGACTTTGCTGAGCTGCTGACATCTTCATAGATTTGTCTCATCAACCCAAAGTCTGACACTTTGATTTGGTTTTCATGGCCAACAAGAACATTACGGGCAGCAAGGTCTCTGTGAACAAGATTGTTTCGGCGAGATGATTCTAATTTTAAGAAGGAAGGAGAAAAAATGAAAATGAGTACCAAAATACTTCAGTTACAGGGCTATTACTGCCTAAAAAGGCATGGGTGAAAGTGAGAAAATTAGGGGCAAACAATTAAAAGACAAATACTGAACTGAACTGATCTGAACGACTGATTCAAGATTATACGAAACATGCCAAATTTGGTTCGATCGACTAAGACAATTTCTCCACTAAAACTAATTTGACATTCTAATGAAAAAAATCAAATCATTCTTCATCTAGAAAATTAACCCATATGTCCTTTCTTTCTTGCTTGTGAAATAGTCTGAAACCGATCTTTGAATGATGAAGACAGAAACTGAATCGAAGCAACGTCGCTCAGAAAATAATCATATAGTAATTACCATTCCTTTAGCTATTTGCCAAGCAAATAAAAATAGTTGTTTGGTTCGAAAGCTCTCCTCCTCGTATTTTTCGTCACTGCTGAGATCCTCGTCTGTTTTTCCGATTACAGGCGGCATGGCGGAGAAAGGCTTCGGTTGACCTTTTCCTGTTGACGCTTGGCTGCTGAGTAGTTCTTTGTCCGTTACTTTCCACTCCCCATCCTTAGTAAATTTACAAAAAAAATCAGTTATAATGGCCTACCCTAAACAACTCGAAGAAACCGTTTAGATCGATTCAATCGCTAAGACGCAGCCTTCGCGCAACTAGAACCCGGCCTTCCGAAAGGCCTGGTCGAGGTTGTACAGCCGCTTTTTAAAAAGCCTTGAACGCCCTTGTGGACGGCCATTCTCCGGGCGCTGGGGTTTGCGGTGAGGGTTTCTCATCCAAGAATGAGATTCAATTCAGTTTTTTGTTTCAGGCCATGTTTGAACCTCTTCAGTGGGTGTCTAATGCTACGCGCACCGTTGGCCAGGTCAGAGAAGAAGACCATCTTCGGGAGGCGCGCGTCGTCCGTTCGAACCACATGTCCAACCCCCCGCAGCTTTGGTTTCATGATGAGTGCCTTAATGCATGGCATGTTGGCTCTGCGCAGCAATTCTGTCTTGGAGACTCTATCATCCCTGGAGATGCCCATAACCGCCTGTGCTTGGAGCTCCTGATAATCTTCCAAAGATGGAAACGCTTCGTCAAATTTGTTCACAGCGACGAGATTTTCATAGGCACTCTCAAGGATGTCAGACGGGTTTTTCTTGTTCATAGTCGCAAAGTACATATCTGCACGCCTCTTGCCTTGTCCTTTCGCGAGTTTTTCCATGTTCGGTTTAAAGGCCTCCACAGCAGCTTCTGACTCGAGCTTCTTAAACTGGTACGGACTCGGTGAAGTGCCGAACTCACGCTGATAACAGCATCGCTGAACTGAAACAACGAAAGCTGTAAGTAACGCTCCAGCTAGCAAGAGTAACGCTGCCGTCTGTAAATTTTTTCCCGCGTTCGCGTAATCTGCTTCGATTTGTAACTTTTGCGCGGCTGAGGCAGTGATTAATTTAGCTGCTTTAGTTTCTCCGAGAGCGGCGCAGATATAATAGTCACGCTGCAACAGCGCCCAGAAAATCCACATGAACCCAGACAGAGAGCTTTGGAATACGATTTCCACAAGAGCTTCGCTGGAAGGCCATCTTGGAAACAAACAACAGCAGCACCGTTTTGCTCCTTGCTTGTACGGACCTTCGTAATAACAGCATCCACGAACGTGGTCCCAAAATCCGCTATCAAGAAAAATCGTCGCGATAAACAAAAACAAAGCAGGGATGATGCAGAAACAGCTGGCGTAGAAGACAAAGTTGTCTGGAGGACACTGGAAGAAATCCTCACTCTCTACGACGGCATTCAGGCCAAACACCAGCAAGGCGACAGTTGTGTTTCTTATGGAACCTGAGTGGTTTCACATTGGTTACCAGCGAACTAAGCGTGAGCGCCATCTTCTATTTAGGCGAGACTAATTTATTCAAGTTCGTCTAATGGTTCGCGTGTCTCAGATTTATTGTCTGATCTCGCATATCACGCGACCGACAATAGAAACCACGGAACGAGGAAGAGTTTCAAATTTTGACGATAAAAGTCAAGAATAGAAAAATATGGGTATAATTCTTCGTCCCTGACTTTATCGTTTTTAATCGTATGAGCGCATTAGCTCAAAATGCAAAACAAAAAATCATTTAAAAAAATAATTTGGTTTTTTAATACCCATTGTTCGAATGATCACGCTTGACAGTTACTAAGGACTCGAAGTGTGTATTAACTTTTGAGATCATGAACTCTCTAATGGCAACGATCTTAGGTTACCGACAGTGTGGGATTTTTAACAAAACTGTCAAAGAGTTCTGTGTTTCAAAGATTTCGATTACTATTTTCTTACAAGTTACTTACAAATAGTAAGCTGCAACTTAGTAAACCGTAATGTGCGGGAAGTTGCATTTGTAAACTCTAAAAGTTTTTTTTATTTTTATTTGTCGAGAAAGGGGCGATGATATTAGCGTTACTTGTCAAAGATTGTCACACAGACGAGGAAAGAAGAGTTGTGGTTTGTCGACAACAAAAATTGACCCTTGTGTTATCGACGAAAACACTCTTTTTTTAGAATGTTATTTTCCGACCCACGGACTGAATATTCTTCGTATAATAAGCCCCAAAGCTTCTGTTTGAGCTTTCTCGCCAGAAAAATACTTTTAATTCTTTTACTTACAATTTACGCCTCTTTAATCTTTAAATAACATTTTTTATAATATATTGCATGTCTATGTATATCATTATGTTTTTTTTTCTGGCAAATAAATAAGTAAAAATTCTTACTTTTCTGCCGATTTGAGGCTGACAAAAGTCTTGTCTTATCTTAAAATTATAGCTTTTTTTTCCATTTAGAATGTATTGGGGTATCAATCATATTTAGCACAGGTTTTCCCATTTTGTTGGCTAGTTTTGCCGTTTGGAGAAAGGAATAAGTTATTAATCGGGGCATCCAACGATGGTTTCCTTTTTAGGCTATCCAGAGTACTTTTTAGATATCTAGAAATGCATTCTAAACGGCGCGTAAAATTTGTATCTGTTTGGTCATCCTTGGGGAACTTGAGTCTTTTCGAAATTACAAAGGCTTGAGTATTATTTTTCCGAAATTTTAGATGAAATTTGACTCATCACGAAAGAGAGAAATTTTCTGATTCCTCTTGCCACCACATTTTTGAAACCGAAAAGTTTAGGTTCCTTTTTTCTACGAAAAACAGTCTAACTTGGAAAGTAAAATGTAAAAAATAAAATTTCAGAAAATCGTGGAGAATTTTTAAGATAAGCTTCGAAAATTGTACGTGAATGGAACGGTCATCTACAAATTTTTAGCCGTCCTCAAGTAATAGAAAATTATAGACAAATTTTAGAGGAAATGCAAGGGCTTTCTTTCCCCAGAGACAAAGAAAACCGTCTGTAATAATGATGGTGTCCGTATTAAGCAAGTGTCCGCAAAGCGGATTTCGACTGTACATGGGAGCGTAAATCCACGGATTGACACAGGTTTTAGTGCAGAATCAGAGGGATCAGTAGCATAAGCTTGTTTCTTTGAAAAGATTTCGATAAAAAAAACTGCAGAACCATGAACGTGCTATATTTCATAACTAAACTTATATCAGTTACATGTAACAAAACTATTGCTAATTATGTTATATTGTGATTCAAAAATAACTAGTATTCATTTTCATTATGATTTAATAAGACAATTATCGATGTGTTCGTTGATATCAGAATTTTTCAATCCGCTCGCAAATTTCTCCCCACAAACAGGACAGAGAATTTCCTTCTCCATTTGGTCCTTAGAATCTTTGTCACTCTTTTTCCCAAACGAAGAAAAAATGCTCGATTGCTTCTGTCGCTTAATCGCCCTTGACGACGCTTCAGAACTAGTTCGTTTCAAAGAGTTCTTTCCTTGAAGGTTCTCTTTCGAAAGGGGTTCCGAAAGGTGGCGCACGAGACCATTACACTTAGCAGCACCTTTGAAAGGTCCTTTATTTTCCGGGAGCTCTTCCTTTTCTCTTCCCTTCGATTTAAAGTATATTGATTTGACTTCCTTCTTACTTACTTTGGTCGTTGCTTGTTTTTCATCAGTGCTGTTTTTGGCGTTGTTCTCGATTTCTTGATTTTCGATCTCATTGCAGTCATTTTCCCCGCTCTTTTCCTTAACATCCTGATCTTCTGATGCACTTTTATTACTCTAAGGCGATCGCTCAACAGTCTTCGGTTTAAAGAAATTCTTTATAGTTACAGGAGGAGTAGTAGCCTTAGTTAACGTCCTTTGGTTGATGGGCGTTTCCGCTTCCTCAAACGCTCGGCTGGCGCTTGATGGCTGTCTAAGAGAAGGTTCTGTTGAACTCAAAACACCATTTTGTTTGTCCTAGAAAATAAAGGAAAAAAAAAACAGATAATCGCTTAAGTCAAAACAATACCTAACCCGGTTCAAAGTTGAAGCCTAGAAGCAGTAGCAAAGCACGATAAAAATTTTAACCAGACTCTCGCTAACGCTTGCTGAGTGTGGTTATCAAATCGTTCGAAGCTGCTAGAATTAAGGACCGGTCGGGAACTGTTCTTTAACATGAGTGCTTGGCCGAAAGGAAACATTTTTGTGTGTGACGAGAATTTTTTACACTTTCCTTTATACAAATCAATATTTACTTACTATAACGGCGTCGAGCAACTTTTGCTCCTTCAAAAACAATGTAGCCTCCGGTATGAGTTGCTCTGGGTAACGCAAACCTACCAGCCGCTGACCGTTATCTAGCTCAACGCGGACTACTCTCAGAGATCCACTTTCCTTGCTGCAACAAAAAGGAAATAGGAAAACAGCTCGGCGACAAGAAGCAAACACAATAACACGACCAAAACTCACGCCTCGGGAACGGAAGTCCCCAGACGTATAAAGTATCAACCGCTAACACATACTGTGAATACATTGTTTGACCATTCAAATTTATTAAATAACTAACATAGTACGCGCGTTCTGATTGGTTAAAAACGTATGCTTTATTGTGCCAGTAAACTCATAGAAAACTTACAGTTATTTTATAATTAAGCAAGAGACAACACTTTCTATGGGTTTGCCGGCGTGATAACCCACTTGGGATGTTGGGAGAATACTCGAAAAGTTTGTAAATCACTCGCCTTCAGCTCGTGATTTACAGCCTTTCGCGTGTTCTCCCAACATTCCGCTTGGGTTATCAAGCCGGTAAACCCATAGAAAGTGTTGTCTATTGCTTAAATAACCTTTTTAGCAGTACTTTGGCTTTTAGAGCGATTCATGCTTTTGATAATCAGTTCTTTTGGAAGCGAAGGGGTTAAGAGTCACTTACCTGAGACCAATTTTATCAGCACTTTCAGCCATGGCCATCTCCAAAGCAGACAGCAAGGGAATAATCCCACCACACAATAAATGGATCTGAGTAATGCGACAGCCGGCTGACAAACAAACAAAAACGGGATCTCGTCGAATTATTTACAGTTTCTGGGTCCTTCCCAACCCACCTTAACTCTCGTTTCTCCCTAACGGGTGGCTTTAGGAAAGAAACATGGGTTAGGGGTTCGGAGGTTGGGAGTTTTTCCAGAAACGGTGATCGATCCAATGATTAGCCATTTTATGGTTGCCGTTTGACTTCATGTAAATATATGTGAAATATCACTCTTGACCACAGAGTGGCCAGTCCAATTGCACTATGGGACTGTTTTGCGAGAGAAATTTTAACCCAGTTTCTTGCGCAACCTCGTCACAGCCAATGAGTGAAGCCATAGCGTCCCAAAAGGGATCAAAGTGCTCTCGACATACCAACAACCTGAACCTGACCCGCAACCTCAAAATGGCCAATACCAAGTAACCATATAAGGTATTGATATTGGAATGCTATTATGCTGTCTTTTCTTTCTAATGAACAGGCCAGGATAGGACGGAACGGAATGGAATGGGATGGGATGAGATAAAGAAAGATAGCATGACCATATCTTAATCATGGACTGCATTACCCATCAACGTTACGTAATTTTTAAAGCTAGCCACTAACAAGTTGATAACTTTTCATTGTATCGTGCTCACTGTAAATTTAAAAAATTCGTTTTATTGCAACTGAATGTCATCATTGTATCGCGCTTTAGGTGTCCCCTATTAGATGAGGGATTCCTCTCTACCAGATATTGTATTGACACGTTCATAAAGTTTATTCGTTCATTCATTAACAAATTGTCGGAGTTATTCTTTTAAAGAAGGATTAAATCATTTTGTCGAGTCACTTCCTCGTGGTCTCTTAAGGAGACTTCTAAGGAATACACCACTGTAATAAAGTTTTCACTTACTTTTACAAGAAGGTCCAGTCTTGCAGCCTAATCCGTGAATACAGTGATCTCTGGTTCTTTCGTACTGTGCTTTCCATCCAGCTTCTAATGAATCAAAAGTATACAACAGCATTTAGTTCCTGACCAATCAAAGTACTTGACATTTCACGAGTTTTGCTTTTCGTGTAACCTGTTAAACGATTAGCAAAACATGAAGTTACAACAAAAGAAATTTTTTTATTTAATGGCTTTTATTTTAAAAGCTCTGCAACCACAACGACGACGGCAACGAGTACGTCAAAAAATTCATTTTATGAACAAAACAATACGGCTCTGCACGTACACCACACTTTTTAGTACATTTCTTTAACGTCCACTGCACGAGACGACGACGAATTTTTATTTATCTTTTTGAAGATAACTACACTTTTTGAGAATTTAGCTCCAGGAATATTCGCCTACCTTTTACAAATTAGGACGGGCTGGCACCCGTGAAGTGTACTAGATTTCAAACAAATCACAGTAAAACACGCGGACAGCACTTCTGATTTCACACGGCTTCCTGGTGGTAGATACAAAATATAGCCTGACTAGGCCCGCCTCCCTTACCTGCATCTTCCAGTGAAATCCTGTTGTACTTGTGCAGAAGATCGGTTTTTTCTTCTTCAAAAGGAGACCGTCCTGTGTTTGGTCTGCACAAAAACAAAACGAAGTAAAAGCGGAAATTATCTTTGGGTAGAAATTCCACACCGTAATATGTCGCTTATAAGCCCTGGGTTTATACATTTTCTTAAGGGGTTTTAAGAGAGCTAATAAACGAAGGGGCTAATAACCGAAATAGAAAAGGCGCTTCGAAACATTCTATAGCAGTGCTGAACAAGAAACCTTTAGCATTTACCGGTTTTTAAGCAAGCTTCAAAATGTCCTAATAAATCGAATTCATTTTAATTCGTTTGGACGCGCCGGGAGCTTAGATCCTGGGAGGCTTAAACGCATGTACTTTATCGTTTACAGGAAGAAATCACAACTTCAAGTCTCTGAATCTGGTTAATGAAGCATACCGGATTAGTCCAGATGAAACGTTAGAGGGGAAGGTGCTTATTTAAGAGAGAGGGCAGGGCTGTATAGAGGATTTACGGTATTTAAACCAAACAACCAACCTAAAATTTGAACTTTTAGGGCGTTCACATCGGTGAAAAGCAGTTTTTCGCCCTTACATTTACCTTGTAATGTTAAAAAGATGGGTGGAAGACTCCTTTTGTATCGCTAGAAGGTAAAGCCGTCTCCCTTTCTGTTCCCTTTTGGAACAATAAAACCCGTCAAACTTGTTTTTTCCATTGTCTTGTAACTGCTTCACTGCCGAATCCCAGCCTATTCCGCGATCAACGTTTACAGTCATGTGTCTGAAAAAAGAAATGAAAATAACTGAGAACGGATTTCAGGTTATTCCTTCGTATGCATTGCGCATTACTTCACGCTTGATAAGCCCGCGCCAACAGATCATAACAGGACGCACGCACTTAAAACAAGGCGGCTTTTGCCTTGACACGATGTGAAAATGCCTAATTTCACGTTTATGGAGGACGTAAAGAAGCGAGGAAGAATTTTTTTCCCCAAGAAATTCACCCGCAGCCGCTACAGTTTGACATTGTCATTGAACTGGAATAAGCACGCCAAAAAAAACCACTCAAATTAAGAAATGGTAAACGTGCAGCGTGCAACCATGGAGTTATGGATGCACGCGGGAGGTTCCTAAGCACGAAAGAAGCGTAAGAGTCGCACGAGGCGATAGCCGAGTGCGACTTCTAGCTTCTTGAGTGCTTAGCAAACCTCCCAAGTCCATCCATAGCTCCATGGTTTCACAGCTGCAACGTTTACCATTTCTTTTATAACATAATCAAAAGAGAAAAACATTATTTTCCAATTGCCTTCGGTTGAGTCATCGGTACGAGTTTAAGGATGCTGCCACCTGCCCGCGCGTAAACAAATCATGTTCTATGTTTTTCAAAAACTTGCCTTTGAGTTTTTCTTTCGCTGAATCAACCGTTCTCTGTCTTCAGGTAAATTGCAAAACGTTTTTCGTTGTTATTTTGAATGCATCTGTCTACTTGCTCTTAATATTAGGGTGAAAACTTTGAGGGAAAACTATAGCTGCAACTGTAAACACCAACTAAAAAGACTCTAAAAAAGAAGCTAAAACTAAATAAATGAAATAATTATCAAGCTTATTTTATGTGACAATTTTTGAAATATACGTAAAGCAGAAATGAGAAAATTTGAGGGTAATTCCTTTAGAATAACAGGTAACACTAATTTTAAAAAGAAATTAACTAGCTGTGTATCGAAATCTGCCTAGGGAAATCCAGCTATGAAAGTCAAAGTTAAAACTGAAATTCGCTGACACACAGCCGGCGCTGAAGTTGTTGTTTTTCGACCGATCTCTGAACGACTGTTATGAATGAACACTGAGGAACAAAATAATACACACACAAGTCATTTTTTGAAAAATTTATTTGAAAACCCAAATGTTTCTGTACTCAAATGAAATTCGCTTATTCCAGCGTAATGTGCCCGTTTAAACTCAACTAAAATTTTTAATCGATGCGATGAAAACTTCACAACAAAGCTGTCTCGAATTTGAGCGTGTTTCCTGAAATATTTGCTTAGATTTAGCATCAGCTTGACCAAAAAGTCAATAAAACAATGCTAATTGATGAATTTACATTTCAAACAGACTTTCTCTTCTATAAACAACATACAAAATGTACCTTCAATCTTCGCTGGCTCCATTTTCCTTTGAACAGCCGATTCTAGCCGCGAGGAAAACAGTGACTAAATCATCCAGAGCAAATTTGTCGCTTGATCTTTTGTCTTTTTTCCTTCAAAACGACAGCTTAGTGTTTTCTTCAACTTCCACTTTCCATCTGTGCATTTTATCGGTGTATTTTACGGTCAGGAGAGGAGATTTGTTGAATTTGTCTAAATTTTACCGCACTAGCTCAGTTTCTTGGCGTGCACCGACGGGCAAATGGTGGTGGCTAACTGACCAATCAGAGCGCGGGATTTACTTTTGTTATGTTATAATTCATTTTAAAAGTGACGTTTTCGCTGCCATCGCCGTCGTTGATGCGGGAAGCTCCCTTGGTATCTCAAGGAATCACTGCGCACTTACAAGTTGCTCCCGCTCCAAAACGAGTATGGGGATTGGGGACCCCGCGATTTTATTTCAAACAACATCCAATCGGCAAAGTTTGACAAAAATCTCACTGCAGGTTCTACTACAGAAGAATGACCTTAAGAATTGACTTAATGGTAACTTTGGGCTAAATTTGCAATTGCTTAAATTGCGTTCACGACTGGGAAGGGTCATATCTTCATTAAGACTACTTACTTTGTTTCCATGAGGCCTCTTTGAAAGTCGCTAAAAACAGGCTGGGCAGCGCCGACCATCGTGATTGAAGATCCAGATACGTCAGTCACGCCTTCACTATACCTAAGAATTATCACGCAATATTATTCATTTGTGTCCAGGGTATGAATGCGAGACCAATGTTTTTTCGAGGATGCATGCGACACAAATCTTATCGTGCAAGAACCAAGCTTTATTGACCCTAAGCTTAATATGCGAGATCGACGCTTCGGGGTGAAGAACTTAGTTTCTTAGAAATTAACTGGTCAGTAACAAAAACAATACTTACCTTCCTTCGCGCTTTGCAGTTTCAATTGCAGCATTTAGGCACTCACAAAAGTACGAGAATAACTACAAATAAAACAGGAGACAATGAAACATTTCTTATGAGCAAAAATCGCAAAGTGCTTTGCACAAGGGGTGTGGTCACGTGAGAGGTAGCGCAGCAGAAAAGTGGCTGTAAACTGGGTTAGTGAGCTTGGGAAGGCACAAGCGTCTGTTCTATACTAGCGAGCTACCGGTGTAGAGGAGAAAATTATATATTTGAGATACCGAAGCCGAGTTTGTGGTGTCAGCCATCTCCTCTTCCCTATACCCTGAAGGAGCGGTAAAATCTGGATATCAGACTCATTCAAAATTCGAATTCCATGAGCGTTAAAAACGCGACTGATTGAGTAACACCACGAAAATAGAAAACAGAAACAAAAAAGGAAACTCGATAACAGAAAGTCTTAGGGCACTTACAATTTGTCAGAACTGGCTGGCCAGACCAGTACAACCGCCAGGAGAATTCCACTTTTAATCAGGACTATCCGGACAGATCTGTTTATCTCTAAAATGTATGCGCGGCAGTGATGGGTTTTTGGCAAACACTTCATTTTCATTATGACCAGTTTGGCCGGCTAGTTCTGACAAAGATACAAGAAGACTGAGAAATCGAACGATACAAGAAGACTGAGAAATCGATCGATAAAAGAAGAGTGGGAAATCGATCGATACAAGAAGACTGAGAAATCGATCGATACAAGAAGACTGAGAAATCGATCGATACAAGAAGACTGAGAAATCGATCGATACAAGAAGACTGAGAAATCGATCAATAAAAGAAGACTGAGAAATCGATCGATACAAGAAGACTGAGAAATCGATCGATAAAAGAAGACTGAGAAATCGATCGATACAAGAAGACTGAGAAATCGATCGATTCAAGAAGACTGAGAAATCGATCGATAAAAGAAGAGTGGGAATTCGATCGATAAAAGAAGAGTGGGAAATCGACCGATAAAAGAAGACTGCGAAATCGATCGATACAAGAAGACTGAGAAATCGATCGATACAAGAAGACTGAGATATCGATCGATACAAGAAGACTGAGAAATCGATCGATACAAGAAGACTGAGAAATCGATCGGTACAAGAAGACTGAGAAATCGATCGATACAAGAAGACTGAGAAATCGATCAATAAAAGAAGACTGAGACATCGATCGATAAAAGAAGACTGAGAAATCGATCGATAAAAGAAGACTGAGAAGTCGATCGATAAAAGAAGACTGAGAAATCGATCGATCGATCGATACAAGAAGACTGAGAAATCGATCGATAAAAGAAGACTGAGAAATCGATCGATAAAAGAAGAGTGGGAAATCGAACGATAAAAGAAGACTGAGAAATCGATCGATAAAAGAAGAGTGGGAAATCGAACGATAAAAGAAGACTGATATAGAAATCGATCGATAAAAGAAGAGTGGGAAATGGACTGATAAAAGAAGACTGAGAAATCGACAGATAAAATTCACGACAGGGGTTCAAATAGCAGAAAAATTAGGAAACAAGGGTAGTCCCACAACTTCCCCTCAAACGTACGTTTCATTGCCACCAAACAGGAAGGATCTTTGTACTTACCAAATTTTGTCTTTCCACACTAAGACCCAAAATACGGTTGAGAAATTTTCCCACATCGCTGGCGTCTTTGTCTTTCACCACGAAACTGGCGTCTGTTACTCCCATGGACAGAAGACATTGCTGTGAAACGAAAGAAAACAGGGCTTTGTTAAACTTGAGAGTAATTCAGTCATTTGGACACCTCGGTAAATGTAATGGACTACCTTTGAGAAAGACTTTCTCCATAAGTAACCACTAATGTGAAACTACCAATAGCCTACGTCGCATATGTAATCTAACCCCCCCGAGGGGGGGGGGGGGGGGTGGTACCTTTTCAGGATTTTTTGGGCGGGGATGTGCCGCCGGGACCCTGTGACCCTTAGCCTATACTAAAGCTAGTGCAGCTGAAGTTTTCTACCCTATGCTGGACTAAAATCTTCAAATCCTCCTATGCTAGAGTCGCTTTTATGCTGAGTTGCGTAAATTTAAACTTGCCGATTTGATTTTTTCATATTTTTGAGAGGCAATTCCAGGTAATGTCTGCGAAACAGCGCCGAGATCCTTGTTCTGGGCCCACAACGGAATAAGCGTTTTGCCAGAAGTGCGTTTCCAGTTTCTTTTCAACCTGATTGGCAAATGGACAATGGCATTTTTAAAAGGCCAATCATGGCGCATACTCAAATCCTGGTACACAAGTGGGGCCCAGAACAAGGATTTCGGCGCTTTTTCGTAGACAGACTTAACCAGAGTTTAGTTTCGTCTATGGCGCGGGCTAGACTACCGAACGAAATGGGCGCTTTGTAGTGCTTTAGTCACGTGGTACAAATACGCCATGCTGAGGAGCAAGAAACGCGATGGGACAAGACAAACAAGGAGCTTACATTTTTCCAAATGCTTATTATTATTATAAACAGGCTACTAATGTATCTCCTTTTTCCACAAAGGTTTCCTAAAGCTGCAGAAATTGTTGGTGGTTACAAAATAGCTGTTGGGGTATTGAGTTGCCACTATTCAAGGTCTCTCTAATTTTTCCTATCAAGTCATGTTTTACTGATCGCATTATATGTTATTACAAAATGACGTTTTTCCTTTATCCATTCCCACGTGTTGCCCAAAATTTTGATGAAGTAATATCGCTGCCTAACTGCCATATAAAATTGTCTCTGACATCATAAATTTTGTTTCCAAATCCACTTTTAAGGAGAGAAATTAAACAAGAATTTTAACCACGTTCGCGACCAACGAAGTAAAACTCACCCTTGCGATGGAGTTAAACTCTGTGAATTCATGCTTGTCGGGAATTTGTGCTGCTAACAGAACCTTAGACAAAGCAACTCCGGGACAAATGGATTGCTGAAAAAAAAAAGGCAAAATAAGTCCCAAGTTCAAATAAAAAACACTCGGTCGTAGATGACACAAGCAACAAACACACATGGTTCTAATTCGTGACCACTTCTGACATACCGATACCGTAAAATCTCACGTTAAAACCCTGGGCTTATATAACGTCTTGAGGGGTTTTGGGTAGGCTTATAAATAGGGGCGGGGGGGATTATATCCGGGGGACTTGTATCCGGAATATGTAATATCTTCGTTAGCAAAGAGATGGACTTAGATCCGGGAGAGGGTTTAAAACCGGGGGGTGCTTTAACGTGGGATTTTTAGCAATTATTCCTCGAGCCCGAATGGGCTCTGAGTCAATAGCCCATGAGGCCGAAGGCCGAATGGGCTATTGACTAAGAGGCCATGAGGGCGAGAGGAATAATTGTTTTAGTAAAATCCAACTAGTTGGTCAAAAATATCGAGAATAAAAAACAATTTAGCTAGTTACTACGCTATTATCTTTTATCCCGAAACAGGCTATCTGACATACCAAAGTAATGGCTTGGTACATGTTCCTGAGTGCAGATCGGCCGTAAGGCGTGTCAAAATTAAACTGCGTTAAGTCGGCCCCAGTCGCTGCTCGTCTGTCACCTTTGGTAAGTGCACCTGCAGGCAAACAAAACAAAAACTTAAAGGGGCTCTGTCATGGCTGTTTAGTTGAATGGATTGATGCTTTTGGCTGGGAAAACAAAAGAAAACCTATGACTTTCTGGCTACCAGTCCAGATGCTCTACCACTGAGCTACAAATGATTAAGGCCACTAAACTAGGTTCACGTGACAAACATCCAGCATACTGCTAGGATAAGAACGTTCTAGATACAGTCGAAGCTCTCGTAAGCGACCACCCCGTCTATTTGGGTAATCCCAAAAGCGTTCACGGCCGCTTACTGGAGTGGTCGCTTACAAGAGATTTTTCACTAAACTGTTTAAGTCACTGTCCAAACGGGGTTTCACAAAGGTGGTCGTAACTAGACCACGAGAGTGGTCGCATGGAGAGCTTCGACTGTATTCTGCTAGGACTAGTTCTAGACAATCTAGCAGTATTACATACAGGATGTTTGCACATGAACTTAGCTCCAAAACTTCTCCTGTGGCTCAGTGGTAGAGCATCTGGACTAGTAACCAGAATGTCATAAGTTTGACCGCCTACTGGGAGTAATTGGATGTTTTTCTTCCAAGCCGCCTGTGTCACTGACTGAAAAATCATATTTCTCATGTATTCACCAGGCTCAAAATTCACCATCAAAAGTGCAAAGAAAGTAGTGTCCGATAGCTCGGGGCAAGTGGATTTTGTTATCAGGCTGGTGAATTCTTTTTAACTTGCCCGATAAGCAAGTGATGTCTTTTGAGCAATTCGGATAAAGGAAGAACTGTGAAATCAATTTTGCTGGTCAAAAAGCTTTTAGGGCTAGTTAAAATGATGTCTGGGCTAGTAAATGCTAGCTTCAGCTTGCCCGAATGGCAAGCTATAAAAATGATTTTCTTTGCACCCTGCCATCACATCTCTTATCATATTGCATCAGTACATATCGACATTTTAGTCCTAGAAGTATGCAGGATGTTTGCCACATGGACCTAGTTTAGTGACCTTAGCTCCCACGTGACCCCTGTAGCTTAGTGGTAGAGCATCTGGCCGGGCTAGTAAACAGATGATCAAAGTTTTAACTCCTGTTGGATGGGTGTACTCGGATTTTTTCATTTCGAGCCGCCTGTGTCAGACTTAAAAATCATCTTTCTCAAACTAATTACCGCTGATACTTGCAGCTTCTTTGTTTTTATGTCTGATTAGCTTTTTCCTTGCAACTGAGTGAGAATAATTCACAAATACGTCAGATGTTCACGATTTTCCGAGTTTGACAAACATTTAAACATTACCTAACGACTGAAGCCGTCGAGCCACAGCCGCAGCAAATCTTCTTTCACCGCCCAAGTTTGTTGTTACAAGTTTATAGATAGGTCCACTAAAAAAAAACAAAACAAAACAAAGAAACCATTAGAGCCAGTAAAACTCTGGAGAAAAGCGGAGCCCCCGAGCGCGTCAATTAGACGGTGAACATTATCACGTGATATCTCCCTCCTCTGACTCCCATGGTACAAAGGGGATTTTGGCGAAAGAAAAGTGATCATGGGAGTAGCCTGTGTAAAGCCGCCCCCTCCCTTTTCCCGATTTTTCCCAAGGGGAGAAGGCGGCTGTACACAGGATATTATGGAAGTAGTGATATTCCAGGAAAGCCTTCAGATTTTTAATCACAAGGAATTTTATTTTTTGTTTTACTAGACTGTCCAATTCTTGGCAGGGTAACCGCAAAAGCGTGAAGCCAAGTATTGTGCCCCGTGACAGTTCCTTCCACGTGAGAGATAAACCACACCACAGAGGTCTACCTCTCACTCTCTTCTCCAACAGCAGTGTGGGTTCTTTTTACGTCCCCTTCGAATTGTTAAGAAAGGATGAATAAGACAAGGCCAATGGATTAACATCACCGCCCACTGACGTGACTATCAGATCATCTGGACTGAGACAAGATCTTAGATAACAGGCAGCATGATATGATCAGTTTTTGAAGACCCTGGTTGGTGTTGGGTTTAAACGGCGGGTTTAAACCTGCTTGGCAGAACGCTACCCTTCCAACAAGGCTAATCAAGCGGAGGTACAATTAAAAATGGTAAACGTGCAGCGCGCAACCATTTCCTTCTTCTTTAGGAAATAGCTTATATCAAAGGGATAGGAACGTTTGTGTTTGGGCAGTGCATGTACCTTGTCTGGTTTGACCGGTGTGATCTTCCCAGTTGCTGAACAGCTTTGTCAGCACTCCAAGGCAGCTCAATGGTCACATGAACACGGCGGCACTGATTGGCTGCTCGGAGATCCGCGTGTAACGAGATACCTGTGTAATTCAATGAGTCTATTACAAATTATTTTATTTAGAATATTGTAATATTAAATCATTTGGAAAACAGTCGATGTACCAGGTGGTATACGACCCCAAGTAAATTATCGTCTTGTCTTGTCACTTATACACGTTATTTATTGCGGTTCCTTTTACCCGAGGAAAACCTTTTATTCCTGCTTGAGTAGCACTTTAAGTCAAGAAACATCACTCTAAATTTCGAGTCTCTACACGAAATTCCAAGTAATGGCAACTCAATTGAACGCTAACAGACACTGAGCCAGCGATTCTTTGTGTGAAAATAACTTCAAGGTTGCCTCAAATTTCAAGTATTAAAAGAATTTAAAAAGTGCAATGTTTAATCCAGGTAACTTCAAACGAATCAAGATACAAAGGGAACCTACCAGTGCTGGCGGCATCAGATATGATGGCAACAAGTTTTGTTCCATTCATAAAACTGTTCCTCTGTGATACAATGCAATCAAAAAAACAACGTTGAATGTTCAGATATACTCAAACAACTCTCTAAAAACTGTGGTATTTAAACAGGCAGTTCTTGAGCTTCAAGCAATTGCTTTATGCCGACTTAGTTGTCATAGCGAAAGCGAAAAATACTGGGGAATGAAACGAAGATCCGAAACCGGATTGTTACCTGAATTTAAGGCATAAGAGTTCAGATTTAGAGTAAGACTTTAAGGTTGGACTACACTTGAAAACTTGTAATCCCAGGTACAACTAACAAACGCAAGCACTAGGCTGTCTTTCTCGCGCTGAAACGACAGTCCTGTTTTTAGATGTAAGGGACAAAGGCAGAGTTCATCCTCGGAGACCCAGGGGCAGTCAGTCAGGTCGGCAGAAACGGTGCGACGAGTCGTGCGACGAAAGTTTTCGACCTGGCTGCCTGCTCCAGGGTCTTGGCCGAGGATGACGTCTGTGCTGATGACTGTAATTACCGACTGTAAATCGCATTTTCTACCATTTTATTCAGAACACGGCGCAAGATTTAGTTCTGATTACTTTGCTCACCTCTTGAATATTCAAACTATCCACATTGCTGCCGTCTGATTCTCGAGCCTCGTAATGAGGTTGAGGCTGCTTGTCAGTTTTTACCACGCGACCACACCTGCCTGTCATTTCTGCTACTTTTCCTGGTCCTCCGAGCTGGTTTATAAGGTCATCAAGAGGACTAGAGACAAAAATATGTTTCAAAAAGGTATGAAGGTAAAGTCTGCGTTCGAGCCAGGTAGCCCATTTGGCCGTAGCACATTCCGATCTCCATTGCATGAAGCGACTAGGAATATTTTTGCTCCTCCTTGGACGGGATAGTAATCAATAACAGGATCCCTCCCACCTTCACCCAGGATTAAATCTGTTGGTATCCAAATTTACACACCTGGGAGGAGTGTGACAGAGTATCGTAGTCCACAACAGGATCCCTTCCACCTCCACCCAGGATTAAATCTTTTGGTGCCCATATTTATACACCTGGGTGGAGTGAGACAGTGTATGGTAGTCCATAACGGGATCCTTTCCATCGCCAGCCAGGATTAATCCCAAAAATAATGCGGCAGATTTGTTATTTAAGAATATTTTTAGCACTGAAACTGGTTTCTGTCGTCTGTTGCAACGGATGGCAAGAATGGACATGGATTTAAACTTGAAAACGTTGTACCAAGTTGTTCAAGTTTTAATGCTATGCCTGTAACAATCACCAAAAAAATAGTGGTTAGTGCTCCATGATTAAAAATTTGTTTGATATCTTCTGTATAATTCCATTAATTGTATTTAGGTTAAGGTACTAATTAGGGACTCTTGCACAGCATTGACCTAAAACAGCAAAAGCTCATCCTAGTTAGACAGGCTCTTTAAAAAGGTTTTAAAGAATAGAACATTGATACAAACCTGAATGGGAGATTAATTTTCTTGACAAAACCTTGAAGCAGATTTTTAGCCTGAACACTCCACTGATCTTCAACAACATCGCCATTCTACACAAAGAAAATAATAGCCTTGATTTCTCTCTTTTAAAAAAAAATTTACTTAACTTCACATTATCCGAAACAAACGTAAGGTCGGGAAAGTGAGTAAACAAGACTGCTGGACTGGACTTCCGTGGCTTATGAACCATAACAGAAGAAGTACCATCAAATCTTTGAAAATGTGGAAGGCAGAAAGTGTGGCCAGTAGAGCAAACATTTTTTTAACTAAAGCCTAGAGGTACAAATGTATATTGATCGCGTCCGCCATCTTGAATCATTTTTTCACTGACGCCAACTGAACAGGTGACTGAACTGTCTGTCAGTTTCAATATCCCAGATGGCGGGAGAACAGTCACCCTGCAAAATACGCCTGCTTTGAAGGTTACAGAAAGTGTATTACATTTAAGTGATATTGAGTATAGAGTGGATTTTCAAAATTATCCATTCGTTGTGTGATGTACCATCCTTGAGATTGACCTGCAAAGCTGGTGGAATGAGAGCGCAGGAGTGCTTTTCAGCGGCGCCGAAGTCGCAAGGGGAAAGAGCAGGGATGTAATTAAGGGGTCCGGGACAGGGAATTTCTCCTGGAAACTTTGAGTAGGGCCCCCGGCTACTTACATAGGAAATAGAAGGAAAAATGAACATAAAGAACTTCCCAGCTGTAAAACTTTCCGTCGAAACTTTGCATAAAAATTATGCCCGGCAACTTAAAATCTTAGTGAACGGACCTGAAAGAGAGGTGTCAACTTGACTTATCCTCAGTCATCTTTGATCTTCAAAGCCAGAACAAAAGCGCTCGTGAAATTAAGCACTCGCGTGAGTTAAATCTCACCAGCTAAGAAGGGTTGTTCAGAATTACTCACCGATTTGATTATCTCAGTTGGAAAATACTGCGTGAGAAACCTGCTAATGATTTCTTCTGTACTTGAGACAAAGCCATTCAGTACTCCACCACACCGTGATATTTCACTTTCCAAACTTGCCTGACAAATAAAACAATGACTTAAGCCAAACTCTATTCAAGTAACTACTTTCTCATGATCATTGGGGAGTTTAAGCAACGACGACAACAACAGTAACAAAAACGTCTCCTAAAAAGGGAATTCATGCTGTTTCAAAATTCCTCGCTGTTATTCCATGTCGTTGAATTTGTCAAATGTTGGTGAATTTTTCTGGAGTTCAATTCGAAGGGTCATATATCTAAGTTAAAAAAGTATTTAAAAATGGTTCTGTTGTGCTATCGCTCGGTCAATAAACAAGGCCTTGGTCTGGGACTTCGCTGTAACGACCTCACTCTCGGTTTATAAGTAGTAAGTAAATAACCGTCGGTCATTGAACAATACCTGAGTAAAATTATCAAAAATGGCCCATGACCTACGAAATCTAGTGACCTGTGGTCGATCATGCCTTCTGGACAAAATTGATAGTCTTGCTGTAGCCTATCACTTTCCAGATGAACAAAATCCGCCTTGACAGGTGAATTGCTGGACCAACGAAATAACATTATTGCAGGGAAAATACGATGGCCATTATACATCCAGCGGCCAAATCCAGCAATTTGCAGGAATTCTTTATAAACGAATTGTGCGTTCTCGATAGAATCCAACCATTTTTTTGTTTTGTCAAACATAAATACCGCGTAGACCGTACATACGTCCTTAAGGGTCATAAAATACTTGCAGCGATAGCCTTACATCAAGTGCATCCCCTAATAGAACCTACAATGTTATGTGAAACTCTCTATACAGTGTGAGGGGCGAACAATTATTTGGTACGTACTTTCTACTAACTTTGCAAGAAGTTCTCAGTGTCTCAAACATTACTTTTTAAACACTGGCTGACATTGAAATAAAGAAATTTTTATGTTATCAGAAACTGTAACCCTTTTTGAGTGGATACGAAAAAAAATTGGACAGAAAGAGAAAACAAACCTCTCCAGTGGACTGGAGACCAATGACCACACAATATCCTGCCTGCAATGCTTGCTGGGCTTCTTCCACTATGGTAGAAACTTTCATACTCATGCTGTACAAATATTCATATACATCTTATCTGTTACCAGACCCAATATAAGCAAGGTTACAAAGTAAAAATGCCTCCTGGCGCTTAAAGTGGAATATGATACTGGCAAAATTGTCCCATGTGATTATTATACGTTTCTGGGAAACTGCCCACATACCCCTCCCCTACGCCAACATCAACACTTACTTCTCACTTAGGGCAAAATGTTAGCTTAAGGGAGGAGTAAGTGGGCAGTTTCCCAGAAACGTATAATGATCCGCCCAGGATCAGGTAATCCGGATTTCGGAATCCAGGAAAAATTTTCGTGTGATAACCGGAATCCTGGACTTTGGAATCCGTAATCCCGCTAACGATTGGAAATCCCAAATCCAAGTTCCAGTGATAACAAATCCGGAATCCACAGCGTGCAATCCAGAATCAAAGACTGTCTTGGATTACGTTACATTGCCACTGTCACGAAGCCGTTCAAAAACTATAATTTCATTCGCTCTACCAGGTACGTAGCTCTACTATTTCAGGGTTAGGGTTTGTTTCCGTTGCTTTCTCATTAATTTCTCACGCAATCCTGGTAGCTGTTCCAAGAGCTCCCAAGCGGCCCACGAATATAGCCATTTCCGAGTTGCCTCAAGCCTCTATTTCAAAGAGAGGCTAAGTGCGAAGCCATTGATATAAAAATGATTTTTTTTAATTCTTATACAAATGAAATTCGTTTACTTTTTTTTAGGTTTTGTACTCAAACTCGCTTGGACATGGGTCGGTGTTGAGTCGAACTGCACTATGGGACTGTTTTGGGGATGAATTTTGACCCAGTTTCCCTCGTAACCTCGTAATATCCAATAAAAAGGCGACAGCGTCTGCAAACAGTCCCACAGTACCATTGGAGACGATACCGATTTAGTCTTACGTATAACTTTAAATAGGCCGATGAACTAGCATCAAGGACAACATTACTGGAAATAAAAAGGCAAAAATGTTAAGGTGAAACTTAAGGTCGACTATTTAAACGAGGTCTAAAAATCAGAGCGCCTCCTTATTCGTTTGTAGGGTATTGATTTTAAGTAGATAAATGGTTTTCTAATTTAGGCTGTCACCTTCTTGTTGATGTGAACAGCAAACGATGACAAGGTATGAGCGTTAGAACGGTTTTTGTTAAATAACGTTTAAACTTTGTTGTAATATCCGCCCCTAAAGGACCAGAGATGGGATTAAATACTCACCAGAGCTGTTTGAAGAACCGCTGATGACAGGACCAAAAGACTGACCACACCCTTGGTGTAGAAGAAGTGGTGCGACCAATGGCAAATTCTAATGACTTCTTTAACTCGCTCCTTTAAAGAGAAAAGGAAAAAAGCTGAAACATATTCACACTATGATTGTGAAAGATACACAGAACAGTTACTTCTTAGAATACCGACTGTGATTGTTGTTTTGCTTTTGCTTTGACTCCAACAAACGCATAAGTTTTGAGTGCAATTTCTACGAAATCACATAAGTTAATCCCGGAGCCCTGGTACAAGAAACCACTGAATGATTACGTCTTAAGTTGTGGTCTACTTAAAGCAGTTAATACGAAGATTTACCCTTTTTACATTGCCATACGTACCAAACGTGAACTGCAGTGTCATAAACCTTTCTCTGTTCCGCAGTCAGTGTCGCCTCAACATTAACAAACTGCAGAAATGCGACAAAAAAGCATTATCAAAGTTTATTAACAGAAAAGGAACAGAAGTGAAGTAAGAAGCATTGCAAAAAAAGCCTTATATTTCAGTATGATAGAAAAACTTCTGCTTACAACAGAAAATTACGATGCCATTTCTAAAATTATGCATTACCTCAGCCTGTCTGAAACTAAGACCTCTAGAAACGTACATCCCTGATGCCTTCATTTCCATAGCTAACATTTCAGAAGCACCTGGGAAAGATTTTAAATGACCTTGAGATACATCGTTTCCGCCGATGGAGAAGTGTAAGCTCCTGTTCCAGGAGTTCAGATTGTGAGGACGACGCAAGGAGATATGTGCAGAAAAAACAGCGAGGAGTGGGGTAGGGAGTGAGGGCGAAATTCCTTCCTCTCAGGAGAGACTCTCTCTCCCTCTTTGTCCTTATTTTTTTCCCGTTCTCTAACTTCGCACCACACTCCACTATTTCAAAGCCTGAGACAGGCTATATAAAAGGCGACCATGATTTCCGAGACGTGGTAATAGCATCACCATGGCGCATCACCGTTCTAGCCACTAGCCTAGCTAGCCGTCTCTCCACGGTTATAGTACAGGTGGTCTACCCATAAATTAGGTTAAGGTTTCGAGTAATTTGCCAGAGCCGGTACAAGGACGCGCTGCACCTTAAGATCTTTAACACTCTTATCACAGCTAAGCATTGTACGGCAGGCAGGAGTTCTTCGAAAAATGACCAGAAACGAACATGCATTACTTCCCCTTGGCTTAGATCGAATCATTTGATAGCTTTCTTTTAAGAGTTCCAAGTATGGAAAAAGGTGACTGAGAGTACTTAGTTACAATTTCAGCACAACTTTGACAAGAATATGGAAGTCATCTTGATATAACCCCTTTATCCCACTGAGTACCAAACGTGATTAACATCAATTTTCTCCTAAAAATATCCATACATCATTACAGGAAAAAGTTTAGAGAATTCATAAAATAATCATTTAAATCTCTCAACTAATTCTTTAAGGAAAGGTAGGGGGATCAGTGGAGAGAATTTGTATGTGGATCATTGGGGCTGAAA